AAAAAATATATCAATGCATGGAATTATGTGTGTTTATCACTTTAGATTTTCATGTAGCATTCGAGTGTACACTTAAAAATCATTTGAGACGAGAGGAGAGAGAGAGAGTCTTGATAAGGTTTTACATGCGTGAGTCGAATCGAATTTTAATATTTATTTTGTGTCATTTATAATTTTGACTTTCAAGTGAACGCATCGATCCGAAAACCAAATTTAATCGTGATTTAAATATTATAAAGTTTTTCACAAAAACACTTTACAGCTTTCAAAATCATTGAGGCGGAAAAAAAATATCGAAAATGAAACCGAAACTAGTGACTTTTGTGCTAATTGTTATTTGTGCGTCGATTGTTATATCGGATGCGAGAAAAGGTGGTGGCGGAAGAGGAAAATATACTGGTGGTGGAAAAGGAAAATCTTCTGGGGGCTTATTGAGTTCGATATTCGTTTCATCAAAACCAAAATCATCGCCGAGCCCGACCCACAATCCGTATTCATCGCCAATAACTCATCACACATCCAACACCAATTCTCATAATTATGGACATAATGGTGGTAGTCATACCTTCGGTTCGGAAAATAGTCGTGCACATTACACACCATATAATCAAAATTATGTTGGAAGAACACAAACTACTCCTCTACAAACTGGTCATCATTTTCCTCTACGAAATGGTCACCATACTCCTATACAAACTGGTCACCATACACCTACCGCACCACATTTGCCATCAGCACCCCCTGCAGCACAGGCGGGATGGTTTACACAAAAAAATACTGGGGGAAGTAGCAACTCTCCATCTGGACACAGAATGAGTGTAAGTAAAAATGGTTTCTAATACATATTTAAATTTTATTTTTTTTTGGCGTTAAAAAATAAAAAAACACTTCTTTTTACAGCAAAATACGCACTCTGGTTATGGAAAATCGGGTCATTCATATGGATGGGCACCATCAGTAACGGCCACTAAAATTGGGCAAACATCATCTAGCCCACAAAATTATGGAAATGTTGGTCATACCAATTATCCAGGACAACAACACCATCAAACCCAATCTACATCGTATCATCCGCAACCAAATCAACCACACCATGTAACGAACAATTTCGTAACACATAATCATCAAACGCATTACAATCCGGGCTATCAATCGTTCAGCACTCGTAAGTTAATCGTAATAACGTAATGTTTGGTGTGCGTTTAAATTATTATATATGTAATTTATATTTTTTTAGCAAGCGTGGGCTATCACTTTACAACTTATCACAGTTATCCAGCCTATTATTCACCCTACCCATCGTACTCACCAGTTAGTTCATTTGGACTTGGTTTGGCTCTCGGTAGCAGTTTGGGTCATCATCATCATTACCACGATTACTATGGCTATCCGAGTACGCATCATATTTATCATCATCATGATGGCAACGGCAATGGCAACAACAACTGGCAAAATGGCAACAATTATAATAATAACGGTAACAGAAATAATCCAAATAACGGCGACTCCAATCAAAATATGCAACCCAAACAAAATCAAAGTACCATCAAAGATCCAACACAACCAATGGCACCGCTTGTTTACAGCGTATCTGGTCGAACCAGTAGCGATGATGCCGATTCAACGGAAATTATATTTACCAATCCGTATTTAATTGTTGGCGTTGAGAATATGTTGATGTATGGCGAATTCCAAGATGAACAAGATATTACAATAATTATGGAACAAGATGCTGACGGCGAGGATCCATATCCATGGGATCCAATGTACTCATTATGGTATCCAAATGCAACAAGTACAAATGAAAATCAATCAAATTTGACATCAGTCGAACAAACGACCATTTCTATTCCAATGACAACAAATGTCAATACACTATCAACAACAACTATCAAAACTGATATTCAATCGACTGCGATGCCAATATCAACAAATACAACGACACTTGTTCCGCTTGCTTCTTACCCAGCACCTCAATAAGAAAATATGTCAAACTAAAAGAAATTGTCAAAATTCCTTTACGGGTACTTTTTTTTGTCGTGTACGTGTGCATGTTGGTGTTTGAGTTTTATATACACAAGGTTAGATTTTATACAATCCAAATCGCAGTGAAAAAAGAAACAACAATTTTCATTATCTTTAAAAGACGAGAATACTTTTGGGAGAATTTAAAATTGTTTTGGTTGTATTGAACGAATTTACGGTTTATTGAAATTCTTGCATCGATTTTGTTTCGTAAATATTTATTTCCTCTTGTTAATATATTAAGTCATTGACGAAATAAAGAAAGAAATGCAATCATTTATAAAAGCAGTTTTATTCGTTTGCGTTTCAAAACTTTTCTGCAGCGAAGAAGTTGAGTCAAAGATCATTTTTGATCAAACATAAAACAAAGAAGAAAAAACTCGTATGTACAATACCTTTTTGATTTTAGTTCATATTATTTATACATGTAAAAAAATGAATAAATATAAAAAGTTTCGTTTCAGCAAGAGAATATTTATGTTGATAGTAACGAATCAATTCTGAAGCATTTAATCATTGAAATTCCCGTTAAAAATTTCTTGTCTACCGAAGATCACCCATCTGATGATTTAAATCATTCGAATTTATTTATTCGTATGGAGAATTTGGCATTGTACATTGATATGATGAGCACAAAATCGGATGAAAGTTCAATTATATTCATTGAAAATGATATTGAAGGGCCCACCGAAGATGAGATACTCGAATACATACGAAATCAAAATGAAGCTGAAATAAGATGTATCATTGAATCTCATAGAGCAAACTGGATTCCATATCAATCTGAAAAAAGTCAAAATTCAAATCTATTTGACACTGATGATCGCACAATATCTTCGATAGAACGAATTTGAAACACCGCAACCAACACACACACACACAAGTCAAATATGCATACCACGTTATGGTTTGCATGTACATGTACAAATCCGAATAAGGATCTCGACACATACCAGTGGATTTGCGGCAACGTTTTTTTTCTTCTTGACGTGGCTTCAAATACAAAAAAAATTTCTCGGTGTGTCATATACAAATACTGTTAAACGTTAAAATGTAGACAATCATATAGCTCATTTTACGCTGAAATATACTTATCTGTCGTGTGCAGAGAGAAATATTCGTCACTTATTATGGAAGCGAACACATCAAAGTGTCAAAGATTATCACCACTCATACAAGTCAAGCAAATGTTCTCGTTCCATATTATAACTAAATAAATGTAAGCTAATACAAACATGACGAAAGTAATCTCATTATTTCTTCATATTTGTTTTTGCTTTTGCTGTTTTTAGTTAAACAGCACATTATTCGATTGAAGAGAATCAAAATTTGAAAATCATTTGTCAAAATGACGATATCATTAAAATTGTGTTTTGGATTTTTTGTGATATTTGCATTGCATTGGCAGTGCATCGATTGTCGTGGCCGTGGTGCAACACGAGGCCGAGTCTCAACACCGTACAAAACAAAAGTGACAAATTCGAACGGTGGCAGTAGCAGTAGCAGTGGAAGTTGGTTTAGTAATTTGTTTAAAGGTCGTAGTAGCAGTGCCAGCAAAACCAATGCAATATCGACAGCCAATGCAAAAAGTGCTGCAAGTTTCAAAGGTATACAGTCACCTAGTCACATCGGTTTCGCTGCGTATGGTAATAATTATGAGTCAAACTTTCACCATAAACGACCGGATCACAATCAATTTCGACCGATGTCGCATCCATATCAAAGCCATTTTCATCCCCAAACAGGTGAGCATGAGTGTGCGTATTGTATTGTACCCAAAACATATATTTCTATAAATCTTTAATGGATCGGTGAGTTTGTCTTAAAATTGATTTTATCTGTTTTTCTGGTTGTCATGTACGGTCTATGTTTGCACATTTGGAACGCAGCTGTATTGGCATATCATTTTATGCCTAGCCCACACGTTCATCACATACACCACTATGTCGGCGGCAACCCCACTACCACCACTCCTCCTGATCACGAATCAATTTTTTATGATTACCGTAGCTCACCATCATCGTCAGAAACGCGAATGAAGGAACCGATTATGTATGACTACAAGCCACCATTAAAAAATGAAACGTCATCAGAAGAAGATGAACCGATTGTCGTACCAAATCCCAATGATGTTTTCATAGCTGGCGTTGAAAATATGCTCTTTTACGGTGATATGAAAGAAAATCAACATCAAGTTGTTTTCGTTGCACAAGGCAGTGACGGCATGACATTTGAGGATAAAATACTTTCACAGCTCAACCGATTTGAGTCCGTTGACAACCATGAAGAATTCTATTTTCCAGATGTAGAATTTCGATTTGATGGTGATTCAGAACCGAGCAATGAAGATTTGGCAGATATTTTGCAAATGTATAAAAAATTAGTTGATGATGGTCGATGTTAGAGATTTTGAGAAAAAAAAAATACACAAATGTAAATAAAGATAATTACGACTTTCAATTATCGTGTAGAAAGTAACAAAATATGAAATTTACTATTAAAACAATTTTAATTGCATTTCGATTTTTCGCATAATTTTATCTGACAGTCCAATGTCTTCCATGTGATCCTGTTCGGAGATTGCAGTTACTTTAACCGCCTGAATCGTTTGCGGCACCTTTTAGTACTTGATAATTTTGATTTCACCAAGAAAACGAATGGTATTTCCGTAAGTTCTCAATCTGTGTTTTCGTTTTTTTTATGTGTGGCATAATGTATTTTTAATGAAGTGAACGTCGCGTTGCCATGCCTTCAATACACGACATGCTCCACTCTCTACTATGTTGCCAAAATTCAAAGAGATAAAATTTATGGAAAAGATTACATCAAATGATAAAAATAACAGATACCTACAAATTGAAGTGGGAGTGTTTCCGCGTGGGTTTGGATTGTACAACAACAACAACAACAACAGAACAAAACCGAAGACATAGCAATAATTACGGTTACATGATGTGCGAATGAATCAATGCTTACTCAGGATGAGATATAAATTTGTGCAGTCTTTTGATACGAGAGAAGAAAAAATGTTCCGTTTGCAGACAAACTCAAAGGCTCTGTGACAACTCACGGGTGATTTTGAGCTAGGGGGTCATTACACCCATAAATAATTTGTACTCAATTTGTACTAATTTGTACTAATTTGTACTAACATTTTTAGAATTTGTACTAAACTGGAAGTATCTTTTAGTACAACTTTTTTTTTAGTACACATCGGATCGAAAAACCAAATATACCAAAAATTTGTACTCAATTTGTACTTTCTAAATGTACTAATTTTTTTTTGAAAATGTACTAAAAAATGTACTAAAAAGCAAAAAAAAAAATTTTTAGTACAATTTTTAGAACTTTGAATATATATTCAGAATCTGCATAATTTGTACTATACATATACATATGCCAGTGAAACTGATATTTTTATATATGCCTGAAAAAAGCATATTTTTCAGTTAAATTCAGATTTTTTTTGTGTTATGTAGAGCTGGTCTATATATTTTTATTTCACCAACCAAATTTGATTTCTCAATTTTTTTGTTCGGTTTAGAGCCAGAAAATGATCGGTCGCTGCGCGCATCATTTTTGAGAAACATCGATCCGAAATTATAAGTTGTGTGTAATGAATGCACGGGAATTGTCTATATTCGCAATCTACGATCCCTAATGCCTTTACAACATGCGGCAGAAAACAAAATTATATACTGTATTTCAACTTAGAATCGACATTAGACATGTGCCTTTGGCGACAAATTCAGGCCGATTGGCTGAAAATCAATGTTTGGCCATTTTTAGTTGGAAAATGATAATTCAATGAAATTAATATGTTGTTATAAGGAGATATTAAGATGTTTCTGACTATTAAGAATAGTTTTTAGAAAATATTTTTTATTCAAAGAATGAATCTTAAGCCTTTTTCTGAAAAATAAGGAAAAAAAGGGTTATATTAAACATGAGTCTGGCGTAGCCAATATAAAGACATTATTGTTTTGCTGGCCAGGTATTCTACTTCCTTTGGCATCGACAATTAATGATACAAAAGAAAAACTATCTGTGTTTGGAGACTTGGCCACACGTAGATCACACATTTGGCTGAAACAAATACTGCCGGTTTTACAAATGTCAAAAAATAGTTGTCACATATATACAATCTGTCTGAAGTTGGCTCTCGCAATACACAACTCATAGGTTGGTGACGCTAGGAGTAAGTTTTTTTGAGTGCTTGCTTTTGATATTCCTACCCGGTGACACGTTCGCTTAGATTCAAAAATAAGTATTGTGTTGTGTAATCTATCAAAAGCAATAATTGATGGAGTTCCTCGGTTGTTTCACTGAGTGTATCGGCATACGCCTTACCGTTATCCTAAAATATACAAATGCAATGCTATTGAGATGAATGACCACGCGAGAAATCACCATTCAAACAGAAAATCTTTAAATGCTCCACATTTGGATCTTGTTCATACCAACGTATGTAAGTGTCAATCGTTGTGTATGTTATATCGTTTTTCGAGCCAACAGCGTACAAATTCTTCAGAAGAGGCAAATCCTTTTCTGTCTATTTCTTTTAATGTGTGAACCATTTTAAATATTTAAAGAAATGTTGTGAACTAAATCAAAGAAGCCATAAGAAAACCATAGATTTATTGCCTAAAACGATAAAAAATATAATTCACATATAGTTGGCGCTGCATTCTATGCAAACTTGTTTTCCGTTGCATTGGACTAAGTGGAAAGTATACGCTTATTACATAGAATGTAGCGCCAACTATACTTGAATTTAATTTTTTATCATTTTAGGCAGTAATCTTATCGCTTCTTTCCAACATACAAATGTATTTATATTCGTAAATTCACCGGATCAAATTTATTATTGATAATTATTTACTAAGACTTCATGACATTGCATTTTCATTGAGATGGCCAAAAGCTAATCTTATCTCATCTGATTCCATTATTTTAATTGTATAATTTGGATTTAATAGCTTTTTCTATCTATTGAAACATTCCACTCATTCAGTTATCATTTGGTGAAAAGGTGTTCAATTTTATTTTATAACTTGAATATAGTATGAATTTTTTTAATTAAAAACACTAAACGATACTTCACGAGTAAAGTTATAAATGAATACAAGACGTTGATAAGACTATCTCTTTGGAATTAAAGAAAATATTTTTTATTGTTTGGTGTTTACTGTATAATAACCAGTATGCCTTTTGTAATCATTCGAGTATCATTATCATCCTTAATGTTGAGATAAAAAAATGATTGTATTTACTTTTCCAAGTATTTTCTGAATAATGATTTATTCTAGGATTTATTCTTATTATCGTTTATTCATCAGCTGAAGACCACGTCGTTTTTGTTAAAATCCAATGCACTTCACCAATCGATTTGAAACCATGTTTTCCAAACAACCTTCGAGATGGATGATTCACCTCAAGTATACCGGCTTGAATGTCTTGACCCATTTCAGCAATTTTCTTCGACACATA